TTATTCACACAACCATTTTTCTTCTTGTATGTCACATGTCCATTCAGGACATGGACGATCATGGCTCTCCACAATTTCCTGTCTTTTGTCTCTCTTAATAAATATTGTTTTTTGCCGCCTCTCCTGTTCTGCCAACTATTCATACAACCGTTTTTCTTCTTGTATGTCACATGTCCATTCGGGACATGGACGATCATGGCTCTCCACAATTTCCTGTACTTCGTAGCTCTTAGTAAGTTTTATATTTTTGTTATCTCTCCGAAACTTTGTTCTATCATCCATTTATTTAAAAAAGCTCGTTAGGTGGGTCACGTCCTGTTTTCGAATGAAACTCTCAATCTAGGAATGGATATTGCTGCCACACTCTGAAAGTTTTTCCCGACTCACATCAACACTATCTCTATAAATAACGGTATTATTTCCGTCTTCCTCCGACGCCTAATTCCTCTGGCGACGTCTTAAAATTTTTCAAATTCCATCTGATCGCTCAGGTCTATCTTCGTCTTGAAGGTAAACCTATTATTTAACTGTTTGATTAGCCAACCATCGTACCTCAATTGTATGTGCTATTCGTGCAAACATCTATTCGTTCCTTTAAACTCCATCCTATCGACCCTTTTCTCCTCTATATTGCTTAAGAAACCTTCCTATTTATCCTGACCACTTCCAATTTATATCGGAATTACAAATATTATTAGTTAAATATTTAAAAAAAAAAAAATATGTATAAAAAATAAAAATGGCGGAAAAAATTAAATCAGCTTGGCTATTCTTTTTCGTTCTCTTCGCATGAACAAAGAAAAGGCATGAATCCGTCTTACTTCAGTTAGGGAATATCACTATGAATGGTTGGACTCTCAATGCGGCTCATCGCTTAGAATGTCGATTTGGAGTCAAATTCAACCCAGACCTCGAGTGGAACTCATATGTACGAACCATCGATCCTCATTGGGTGCCCCCTACTTTCGACCTTGTGCTACACCTAAGCTATGCTTGGAAAATCACTATACGGAACATCAGCAAAGATGCAGTAAAAATTATCGGTTCCACGCAGGGGGGGGTACGTACTACAATCGAATCCCCACCCCCCAGATGGGTGGGAAAACCTAACTGGGAGCCCTGGGTAGTGCTTTGTGATCTTCACTATCCTATCAATATTTGCTATTTTTTTTTTTACCTACATTTATATATGTTAAAAATAAAATTCCAATGCCTCGAAAACGAAACTAGTTACATTCCATGATCGTCGATCGAACCCCGAACCTACCACCAGTCACGACTGATGGATGTCCCCTCAGGGAGACACCGTACCATGAGCGTCTATTGCGCCTTAAATTCAAACTAGACCTCGTGCATACGACCCATTGCTAAAATATCGGAAAACAATCGGTTTCCTGTACCGCTCCAGTAAGTACCTGACTCCTCCTGCTATCCTCTACCTTTACAAGAGCCAGGTTATGCACAAAATGGAGTACTGTTGTTATATTTGGGCAGGAGCTGCCCAGTCCTCACTTTTCTATCTTGATAGATAAAGCGTCACCGTCCCCTTGTTGGTGACAAATTATTTTCTACCCTGCAACCACTCTCTCACATACGGGACGTGGCAAGGCTGTCACTCTTTCATCGCTACTTTTCATGAAATTTCTCAGACGAACTGCATTCCTAGGTTCCTCCAGGTGTAACCTTTACGGTGAGGACCCGTCATACCTCTCACAATATAGCAAACCATCCTCATTCTCTTCATATTCCTTTGGTGAGAAGTAAGTTCCACTCAAACAGCTTCTTCCCACAAACCACTCCTCTGTGGAACCGAAGCGCGTTTATACGATAACGACAATCTTAACCTGTTCAATGCTAGGATTAACCGTTATCTACCCCACCTTTGCGAACAAAATGTGTTTCTTACTTTATAACCTTCTGCCTCGAATGACCGGATTTGTACAGGGTGAATCTCACTGTAAAAAAAATAACGAAACAAAAAACACATCTATTAATGGATGAAAAATTTCGCAGATTTTGACATCAATTCCGGGGTCATTTTTTTTTTCGTCCAAATCCTTGAATTTGCTTTGCTCATTCTAAGTCTTGAAAGAATGTTATGTAAAATTCACTATTTTTATCTATACTGTTGAATGTGTTAAAATTATTACACTTTTTCAGGAGAAAAATCTCCAATTGATGTTAAAAAATTGCCGCAAAACATTGTTGACTTATTTAAGATGGAATGATCTCTAATTTTTACTTAGATACATTGTATTTATTTTCAATTTTTCTAGTTGAATTGTTCACTTATATTGTCTATAATCTATTATTGTACATAATTAGGTTACAATAAAATTTAAATTCTATATGAATACTACCTTATGAAAATTGAGATGTAGTAGAATGGGGTGGGGGGCGTGTATCATAGATTTGGAAGGGGGAATAGGACCATTACATTGGCCCTGCTCTTATATAGTGATAAGGAGCAGAAGATTTTTTTTACATAAATTTTGTAATGATTGACATCACATTAAAATTAAAACATTTTTGTAAATATTTAACTTAACACAAAGCATGATTTGTGGTGGAAGAAATTTTTTTGCAATGGATTGTAAGATTAGCATATTAACTATTTTTCAAAGTAAGTCTAAAGAACTTTATTATAGCATGATTAGAAAAGAAAATTATATTTGATTTGATTAAGAACCAAGCAATGCAATTCATAAAAAAGGAAAAATAAAGGAAATTGCTAGGTTTAAATTAATGAATATAAATTTTGAAATAATTAAGAAAGATGAAATATTTTGAACTAAATGAAAACAGAGTCTGTCTATATTTCTGAGATGAGGTATTATGTACATTATTCGGACTATTGTCCTCATCTTTGTCGCCATATTTATTACAACGTTTCAGCCTTTCAGTATCTGTTTATATTTCTGAGATGAGGTATTATGTAACTATTTACATTATTCACACTATTGTCCTCATCTTTGTCGCCATATTTGTCACAACGTTTCGACCGTTGTACGCTCCGGCCTTCTTCAGGCGGTTGGAATGTCGAACTTAACCCTTTATTTCACTCACTGGGGTAGACTGTTCTAGTTCCACGTGTCATGTTTAATGGATGTCAGTTATCAGTTATCTCCTGTTAATTTCCCCCTGAAAGTTCTCCACTGCCTTAACCGGGTATTGAACTCACACTCCTTGGGTCCTGTCACTGGATCTAACCAACGCCTTTATCTACTGTGCCATGTGTCCTTGAGGGTTCAGTTCGAAATTCCAACCACCTGAAGAAGGCTGGAGCGTACAACGGCCGAAACATTGTAATAAATATGGCGACAAAGATGAGGACAATAGTCCGAATAATGTAAATAATGTAAATGAAAACAATGATTTACTTCATGGCATTTCTGAAATAGATCTTAATAAATTTATCTCTTTGAATTTCTTTCCATGATTTCTTATTATTTATATAAATGCATAATTTCTCTACTGAAATTGTTCCAGCTATGGCATTCTCTCTACAGACAGTGGCCATTGCTGTTATAGTTGGCTAAACTGCATTACAATAAATAACTTTTTCCTTACCTTGTGATGGCTTATTAGTGAACAAGAAATAAAAATTCTTCTTTTACTTTGAGGAAAATTAAAACTCATGTCATTATCTTTATTCCTTGAGTAAGTGTTGTTGATTTTTGTATATATTTTGGTGTATTATAAAGTAAAAAAAGAGAATATTCAATAATTTTACTAAGCATATTTCAATGTTAAGAGAAAGAAAGAGGTTTTAAATATAAGGTGTACTCGGGTAAACAATTTTATGTATCAATGAGTTGTTTTTATTCACCAGATGGTCGTTTTGTCACAAAGATGATGTTTTTTGGTTCGGGGGAAGTGATCCCAACGTGTAGTACCTTTAGTGAATGTTGGAAAACCATAGCACGGGTTGACCGAATCCTTGTGAATGAATTTGGGTATCCGGAAAGTTTCGAACGCCGTCGATGGTTACGCTAGCACGAAGTCACAAGTCATCGTGACCGAAGGTTTGGCGATGTTCAAACTACTGACAAACTGCAACAAAGATCAACTCAGCGTAGTTGCAGGTTGGCTCCACGGGTGTTGAGCAAACGCAAATGTACCTAATCAGACCAGCGCACTTGAAAATCGAGTAGGCGGTTATTATATATATATATGTGTAATTTCAGTAAAACCAAGTCAAATTAGAATCTAAATTTAAAAATATAATCGAGTTTCATTTCATCGTGGACATTAAACTAATGCATGAAAAATTGCATCAGACTTCAATAATATAACTATCATATCTCTTTTGTGTCTTAAGAAAATCTGTCTAAAACCGAGATAATCCACCCGAAACACAAGAGGTCGGTCAAATACATTCGAAATCCGTGTGATAACTATAAAATACTCAAGTGTCTCTTCAGAAAATAAAATGAATTCGGCTTATTTGACCTTGTTTTAACAAAGAGAAAACTTGTCTACGTGAGAGTGATTTCGCCTCAAAACGTCAGCGTGTTATTCAAAGTTTATAATAATAATTATTATTGTCGTTGTTGTTGCTGTTATTATTATTATTATTATTATTATTATTATTATTATTATTGCTGTTGTTGTTATTATTAAGTCGGTAATATGATTATATTAAGTCGTGCGAAAATTAAAAGAAAATTCGTTCAGTGCTAGATTGAATTATTTTTTTTTCTTTATTGTGCCATTTTGTGCAAAAGACATTTAGTGAAAAATGTGATGAAAAACGCTGACTGAGATAGATAGATAGATAGATAATGAACATAATTAGATAGATAGACAGATAGATAATGAACATAGATAGATAGATAGATAATGTAGATAGATAGATAGATAGATAGATAGATAGATAGATAGATAGTGAACATAATTAGATAGATAGATAGATAGATAGATAGATAGATAGATAATGAACATAGATAGATAGATAATGAATATAATTAGATAGATAGATAGATAGATAGTGAACATAATTAGATAGATAGATAGATAGATAGATAGATAATAAACATAATTAGATAGATAGATAGATAGATAGATAGATAGATAGATAGATAATGAACATAGATAATGAACATAGATAGATAGATAGATAGATAATGAATATAATTAGATAGATAGATAGATAGATAGATAGATAGATAGATAGATAGATAGATAGATAGATAGATAGATAGATAGTGAACATAATTAGATAGATAGATAGATAGATAGATAGATAGATAGATAGATAGATAGATAGATAGGTAGACAGATAGATAGATAGATAGATAGATAGTGAACATAATTAGATAGATAGATAGATAGATAGATAGATAGATAGATAGATAGATGCATTCATAAAGTTTAAGTACAAAAAGAGGAAAGCTCATCAGAACAATTGCTATGAAAATATTTACAGAAAAAAGAAGCTATATTACGCCGGTGGGGAATTGACTGAAGCGGAGATACCGGCTGAGGACCAATATCATTGCAGATTCTTCTTTGTATTTTATCTAGAATCTCTAAATATAGGTCCTTCCAAAGAAACTCGATAGTTAAGGTTTAAAATGAATTTTTAAAAATAAAAAATCATTCTTCAATTTTTTATTTTAGTTTTAATTTCAAGCTAATAGATTAAATTTAATAATTCCAATAAGCAAACTACATTATTGTATTTCAGAATTAATTTAAATTGACTGGAAATCGTTTTTGTTTTGTAGCACTAAAAATATCACAATATAAAAAATAGTTATCACTTTTATTTTGTGATAATGTCGTGTATGGACGTCCGTATTTACAAAAATCGGCACGTTTATACACAGACAAAAAAAATTTTAAATTCTTTTTAAAATATTGGCGGTCGCTGAAATGTAGTAAGCTTTTCCATTTATGATTAGTAAATATAGTTTTTACTTAATAACAATATCACCGTAGAAATTAATACAGAAATTTAAAAGATTTATAACTTATCCTAATTGAAAAAAAATGAAAACAATTCTTATAAAAATTCATTATTCATCAAAAAAAAAAATTAAGACAATAGTGTTAATAATATCTCTTATTCATAAAATCAATTAAAAGCTTTTCTAATTAAATAATGCCTTAGTTTTATTGCATCTTTTATTTTACAATTCAGAGCAGATTTTGTGTAAATGGGGGTCCTTTTTTATAAAAGAAAATTCATTATTTAAATTCTCCAAGGACTTCTGCTTATAACTAATAGAAATATTAAGCGGTACAAAAATGAATTTCTTGAAATTTCATAAAATTAAATAAGTGGGGTGTAACAGATGTAAAAAATGTTTTTACCACGATTTTCTAAAAGATTACATTTTATTCATTATTGAATAAGTCCTGAAAGTTTCATTAAAATCCGGTAATTATTTGATTTTTGCAAGAATTTCCAAATCAACGTTTCGGCCTTTCAGTATCTGTCTATATTTCTGAGATGATGTAGTATGTACACTATTTACATTATTCGGACTATTGTCCTCATCTTTGTCGCCATATTTATTACAACGTTTCGGCCCTTTAGTATCTGTCTATATTTCTGAGATGATGTAATATGTACACTATTTACATTATTCGGGACTATTGTCCTCATCTTTGTCGCCATATTTATTATAACGTTTCGGCCCTTTAGTATCTGTCTATATTTCTGAGATGATGTATTATGTACACTATTTACATTATTCGGACTATTGTCCTCATCTTTGTCGCCATATTTATTACAACGTTTCGGCCTTTCAGTATCTGTCTACATTTCTGAGATGATGTAGTATGTACACTACTTACATTATTCGGACTATTGTCCTCATCTTTGTCGCCATATTTATTACAACGTTTCGGCCCTTTAGTATCTGTCTATATTTCTGAGATGAGGTAATATGTACACTATTTACATTATTCGGTCTATTGTCCTCATCTTTGTCGCCATATTTATTACAACATTTCGGCCGTTGTACGCTCCGTCCTTCTTCAGGTGGTTGGAATGTCGAATACATGGCACAATGGATAAAGGCATTACTTAGATCCAGTGACAGGACCCAAAGAGTGTGAGTTCAATACCTGGTTAAGGCGGTGGAGAAATTGAAGAGGGGAATTAACAGGAGATAACTGATAACTGACACCCATTAAACATGGCACGTGGAACTAGAACAGTCTACCCCAGTGAGCGAAATAAATGGTTCAGTTCGAAATTCCAACCACCTGAAGAAGGCCGGAGCGTACAACGGCCGAAACAATTGTCCGAATAATGAAAATAATAAAAATCGACGGTATTTTTTTTGTGTGTTTAAGTTTGGAGCATTTTTTCATCACGGTATGCTCCTTTTTTAGCGAATTTGTACCTATCTAAATATATAGTATCAGCAACAGACCAGATGTGACAGCAAGATTAAATGGCAAGAACCAACGTGTGTGTGTGTCTGTGTGTGTTTGCGTCCTGAAGTATATAACCCACATTGTATCTAGGAATATGTTTAACTCGGAAGGTAGGGTGTTGGCTGTGAGTCGAACAGATCATGATCACAAGTAAGTAACTGGGAAAGGTCAGAGGTTGACGCCGTAAATATCTCGACGTAAATAGTATCGTGTAGGCTTAATAATTTGTATCTGTATGCATAGAGATACCTATTGAAATTGAAGTACTTTTTTATTTATTTATCTATTTATTCATTCATTCATTTTCGGGGGCTAAGCCGTTCGTGCATGTAGAAATCTTTTGTTAGCTGTACCAAGTGTACTGAGTGACCCTACTATTGTTCACAATTCCCTCTCACACATCACTCACTCATATTTGAATTTTACTGACATCTCTCTCTCTCTCTCTCTCTCTCACACACACACACACACTCTCTCTCCCCCCCTCTCTCTCTTTAACCCGTTCTCATTCACTTATGAACCCACGAAGAATTTTGGAGGTGCTCAGTTGGACAAGAAAATTGACACAAAATTATTGAAAGGCCTTCATTTACAGTCTAATTTCATTCATCCACCACATGAATCGGACATAGAGTTATTAATTATTAGTTATTAATATCACGACGTTGGATCCAATATATATATATATATATATATATATATATATATATATATATATATATATATATATATATATATATATGTATGTTGGTTGGATAGATGTGAGTTTGTGACCCTGGGTTTCACGCTTTAGCGATCGTCAGACAAACTAAGTACCGCGCATATATAAATAATTATACATATATATATATATATTTATTTATATTTATATACACTTTTCACACACACACACACACACACACACACACACATATATATATATATATATATATATATATATATATATATATATACATTTTTAGGCATTTAAAACAACATGCCTGCCCACACACACAATTCCGTAAAATACTTGTCGAAAACACAATTATACTTTGACATGAAAACAATAGACAAAAACTAAAAATCCTTGAATACATCAAACAGTTGAAACCCAACCGAAACAAAATCAATTATGGAATCTCTACAAATATCCTTAAATGTCTATAATTGGTAACAGAAGCCATTGTTTTATACCAACGGCTTTCCATACTTTATACTTCTCCAATTCACTCTCGAGTGGTCATATGTGATGTCATGAGATGTGGTGCGATTTTCGCTTCTAGCGTCTTTATATGCACATGTTTATCGTTGCTTAGAAATCATCTATGTAAACAATGACAGACTATCATCACTGTCGTGTCCGTATATTGCTTAATATGTTGCAATGGACATCTTTGATAATGGCTTATGTAAGCCGAAAGCTTAGATTGGATTAAAAAATATGGATCAATGTTGTGAATTTCTTTCTTCGTTTAACGATAATGTTATTAAATTTATCAGACGTTATGAAAAAAATTTTCATAAAATAAATAGACAACACTTGTCTATATTATTTAATGAAACGGGTGTATATATATATATATATATATATATATATATATATATATATATAGAGAGAGAGAGAGAGAGAGAGGGGGGGGAGAATTGTATATATATATATATAATTATTATTAATTGATTAATTAATTAAAGAATATCAAACACTTAATTTTTATATTGATGTACGTTTTCTCATCTTATCATTCACACACAAGCTCACACACACACACACACACACGGCGAGGATGACAATGTGTGTTTAAAATTACTGAAGAGTTGTTTAGAGTTTACAATGCGTTATGGTAACATGTGTAAGAAAGATCTATGACAGTGTATATTATACACCTGAGCTGAAGGTCCCCTAGATTTTGACGCCTTACGCTTCAGCATGCTAGACCTATAGGTAAATCAGCCACAGGGGTATACTATACCTGAGCTATATGAAAAATTGAGGTTTTTCTCTCCCCCCCCCCAAAAAAAATCAGGGGTCACACTATGCATAACGTAGGTTTATACACCAGTAAATACGATATGTCCTTTGCTAGGGCCACACACGGGTTTGAATTTAGAGTTTTTCTTTTCTGCTAGAGAGTCATACTATTTAAGTCATAGCGGGAGGAGAATTGAGAAATTCATTACTCTTCCCAGGAGCATTTGTGTGAAATTCTCGAAATACACATATCTGCTCTGTTTTGTATCCTAACTAGGGGACGCAGGTTGGAATCCTGCTGAAGGACATGCTTTTCTAACATGATTTCTCGAATATTCTACCATTAAACTGTTTATATATATATATATATATATATATATATATATATATATAGATAGATAGATAGATAGATAGATAGATAGATAGATAATATAGTGGTAAATATACACATATATATGCAAAATATATAAATATATATACATAGGTGCATACACATACATGTATATTTTTTGAATAAAAATTTCCAAGAGGAAGAATCCAGGTAGAACTCAATGTCCAGGACAGAGTAAGGATATAATAAAAAGGCTTAAACACTAATATTCCATGGTCATAATTTATTCTATTGGAATCGTAAATACGATCCAATTCATCAGACCTTCATGGAAGATTGAAGTTTATAAGCAGTAAATTCGACCATGCCAACCGAACGATACTTTGTGGCCGAGAGGTTAGGCACGTCAAGCTAAATCACGGTTCCGTATAGAATGCAGTTTCGAATCCTGTCAAAGGATGAATATTTTCTATGAAAATTTCTCGGACATTTAGGCCGGTAAATGTTATTTAATACTGTTTATTGTAAACAGAGCATTTACTAAAATAGTTGTATCTATAAAAAAAGAACGTTAAACATAAAAATGTCCTTAATATATAATTGTGCCGAACCAACCACACTTTTTGAAGGTCTGAATACAGAGGTCTGGTGCACTATGTACCACAAGGTCCCCAAACGACTCCCCGCAGGTTTTGAATTCAGAGTTGTCCTCGTAAACCAGCTGCCATCCAAGGCTATAGAACCCAGTTTGTCATGCTAATTACCCATAGCAGGAAGGAGAAGAAGATTAATACCTTTTCCCAAGTGTATCAGTATGTAAGTGTGTAATATATATATATATATATATATATATATATATATATATATATATATATATATATATATTGAAAAAATAGTATGACAAATTGGAAAAAAAAAGGTTTTGTGAGGCGTTTCATCTGATGAAGTCCTTCTTAGGACACGCCAGAAAACATTTTCTACAATTCGCCATACTATTCATATATATATATATATATATATATATATATATATATATATATATATATATATGAACTAATTTAGCTCTTCTTTTGACCTAGATTTGTACTGGCCGAAAAAAATATATTACCAGTTTGAGATAGATAGATAGATAGATAGATAGATAGATAGATAGATAGATAGATAGATAGATAATGGACGGGATAGATAGATAGATAGATAGATAGATAGATAGATAGATAGATAGATAGATAGATAGATAATGGACGGGATTAGATAGATAGATAGATAGATAGATAGATAGATAGATAGATAGATAGATAGATAGATAGATAGATAGATAGATAATGGACTATATTAGATAGATAGATAGATAGATAGATAGATAGATAGATAGATAGATAGATAGATAGATAGATAGATAGATAGATAGATAAGGAGGCCTAAGGCCTACAAGAAAGAAAGAAAGAAAGAAATTGGCAGCTTATACTAGCCGTCGAACAATAATGTAATGTTTTTTTTTTTTTTGTGTTTTGTTTTTTATCAAAATATGACTTCGGGGGGAAAAATTATTTCTGCTACATTTGTTTATTGCTCTTTTCGCCCATCGTTTTCCTTTTTCTATTTTTTTTTTTCTTTCTTGTCACGCCTGTATGAATCAATGGCCAACTGTCTACTTCCGTTCCTCATTTCAGGACCTGCATAGATTCTTCATTCTTCCTCCTTGAATTGGACAAGAATGTTGTTAGATTTATTTCTATGCCGATGTAATGAAGCAGACATATTTGCAATAAAATATCTGTTTACCGAAGCGCTTCACCATATACACACGCACACATTACCTAATTATTACAACAGAGAATTAGAAATAATATATAAAACCAATTATATACACGTATACATACATATATATATATATATATATATATATATATATATCATTCTCTTCCCTTTCCTGTCTATCTGTCTTGTCTGTGTGTATCTCTCTTTCCCCTTCTAAATATATCATAATACCAAATTCGTTACATAGATTTTCATTCCGTCCGGTGATTGCCATTATATGAAACTCTTGAGAAGCCGATTTGGTAATATTAATATATTGTATTATGCTTCGGCTGTCGATTTTGATATTGAATCCGCATTTTATTTTACATTTTAAACTTTTAGCTTATTTAAGGTTTAGTTTTTATTCTTACTAATTACACACACACACACACACACACACACACACACACACACACATATATATATATATATATATATATATATTTTACATACAAAGAAATAATCACACATAGAATCAATCAGAAGTATTAATGCGATTATTGGCGACATCCATCGCTAGAAACATAATATATGCATTAAAATACTGTTAATCCATAGTGCGAAGTGATCCTCGTCGATAAACTTGATGTCTGTAGTTTTTAGTTTATTTGATGTTAAAATGCTAGTACTTACGAATAGTCCTCTATTCATCATCAGGCCTGTGTTTTTTTCCTTATAAAATCAAAAAAGATATTTTTGTAGGTACAAAATTTAATGATCGAAATAAAAGTGTAAAACTTAATATTACTAGACATATTAAAAAAACGGGCGAAGCTAACCGGTTTCGCTCCCGCTCTTCAGGCTTCAACGAGAGATTTAATTTAAATTAAAACAAACAGAAAATGTACAATAAAAAGGAAGTTGTGGAAGTGAGGAGAAAAAAAAGATCTTTCATGATTTAAATTCATCATTGACTTGTCTTTATATCTATTATAAACAAAAAGCACGACAAAAACAGAATTTCTTAAAATTCCATAAAATGAAGAAGTTGTACAAATGCCCCCCAAAATATTTTACCAAGATTTTCGAAAAAAGAAACATTTCTCAAAATAATTTAATTCATATGTGAATAAGTTCTGATGTTTTTTTTTAGTTTTTTTTTTTTAGTTTTTTTTCTCCGCACTTCCACAACTTCCTTTTTAATTTGCATTTTCTGTTGTTTTCTGTTTAAATTAAATCTCCCGTTGAAGCCTGAAGACCGGGAGCGAAACCGGTTGCTTCGCCCGTTTTTTTTAATATGTCTAGTAATATTAAGTTTTATACTTTTATTTCGTCATATATATATATATATATATATATATATATATATATATATATATATATATATATATATATAAATATAATATATTAAATATAAAGGTGAACATAGAAGTCAACAGGCGACAATCTGTTTCATGCTAGACGCAATCGTCAGGCCACTTCTGGATGGTGAATTCTATGTCCACCTTTATATTTACACACGCTCTATCTCTGATATTGAGCACTTTATCCTATAAATATAGCACATCTTAAGACTATATTTCTTCATATATATATATATATATATATATATGTATGGTGGGTTCTCCTACCGTGAATGATAAATGACGGTCAGCATTGGTAGGTGCCTTTAGTTTGACACTTATGCATGCTATCTGGGGCTATTGTGGAGAAAATCAGGTAAGGGAAAGATATATTTCATTTGTGCTTTCTCGAGTGTAATACTAACCCAGCCTTACTGCGGGCGACAAAACCACACAAACAGATGAAACTTGTTAAAAGAAGATTTTGATGGCGTCTCTGCTTCAGAGTTTGACGAAGCTGATCACGGTGCTTCAGTCTATTTACTTCAAAACCCTTTAATTTAATGAAACATATCTTACGTCACTCCTTTCGGTTTGATGCTTGGCCTTCTCAGGTTTTCAGATTAAATTTGAGACTTTTCAATTTGTCTTTGTAGCGTAAAAGTGACGTCCATCTGAACGCTTGGAGTTTGGTAGTTTTCCATACAGCACCTTTTTTGGAAGCCTATGCTTATCCATTCTCACAACATGACCAAGCCACCTAAATTGTATCTTTGCTAGAATGGTTTCAGTGCCTGCGATGTTTCTACATGGCTTCATGACCCTGTCATCCCATTATATATCACATATGGCACGAAGACAGCAGATGTGAAAGGCGATATGTTGATTTATGTGCTTGCGGTACAAGTTACAAGTTTCAAATATATATATATGTATATATATATATATATATATATATATATATATATATATATATATATATATATATGGCAATAGGATTGATGATATCAATTAGCTATAAAGGCGTACTATTATATAATGCATATCGTATATATATATATACTGTCGGATCTATATCCATATATTTGCTTACATATATATATATATATATATATATATATAATATAGACAAGTGTTGTCGATTTATTTTATGTAAATTATTTTTATAACATCTGATAAGCTTAATAACATTATTATTAAACGAAGAAAGAAAATAACAATATTGATCCATATTTTTAAATCCAATCGTTTGTAAAAAGAATTTACATAAAATAAGTAGACAACACTTGTCTATATTATTTAATGAAACATGTATGAATGAAAAATGCTGCCTAAATACACACAATATATACATATATACACACAATATATATATATATATACAATATATATATATATATATATATATACAATATATATATATATATATATATATATAATTAATGTTATTGCCAATATTGTTATCATTTTGTTGTCTTTTTATTCCTTAAATATCACTAACAGGCCTATTAAATCTATGTGAATCATCTTTCGTTTTAATTATATATATATATATATATATATATATATATATATATATATATATATATATATATATATATATATATATATAAGACATTGATTTGGAAATTATTGAAAAAATGAAATAATTGAATAATGAAACTTTCAGAACTTATTCACACATGAATTAAATTATTTTAGAAATGTTTTTTTTTCGAAAATCTTGGTAAAATATTTTGTTAACATTTGTAAAACTTATTAATTTTAAGAAATTCTTTTTTGTAGCGCTAAAGATAAGTCAGGGATGAATTTAAATAAGCAAAGTTTTGTTTTTTTTTTCTTTTTTGTTGGGGGGAGCAGAAACCTCAATTTTGAAAAAATCTGCTCTGAATCGTAAAATAAAAAAAATGTAACAAGACAAGGACATTATTTAATCAGAAAAGCTTTTAGAAATAAAATATATTATGGTCGCTATTGCCTTATAAAAAAGAAATTCGTTGAATTATGAATTTTTACAAGAATTATTTCCATTTTTTTTTAAATTTTAATTAGAATAATTTACAAACTTTTAAATCCGTTAAAATTCTATATTAATTTTTATCGGTCATGTGATATTGCTATTAAATACAAACTATATTTACTTATTATAAATGGAAAAAGCTTACTTCAACGTCTCCCAGTATTTTAAAAAGTATTTTGAATGTTTTGTGTGTTTGTGTATAAACGTGTCGATTTTTGTATATACGGGCGTTCATACACGACGCGATCAGAAAAAAAGACACGTAACTATAGTAAATATATAATTTACTCTTAATTTTCTAACATTTCCTCAACAACCGACATCGTAAGAAAGACTATAAAAGCCAAAGTATCTAAAATTCAATAAAATATTAGAATGCTTAAAATGTTTTAAAATATTAAGATTACTGGGTAGGTAAAAAAATATCTAAAAAAAAAAAACGTTTACGTTGTATTCATCATGTAATTTTGCTAAAATTATTTCCCCCTTGCATAAATGTCAGGTTATCGATAGATGTGTCAATAACTCATAAACCTCCCAATCTTGTTAAAATGATTTTCTGCCATATTTAAAAATAAAAGTAATATTTGTTTTAATTCCGATTAATTAAACTTTAAATCAGTTGATGTTTCTCAGTTAAAGTTACCGAAAACATTTTATTTATGAAAGATTTTTTTAACAGAGAATTACGTTGTGTTGACAGTTTTTTTTTTATATCTCCGATTTTAAAGATTTCAAAAAAATAATTCCAATCAGTTTAAATTCAGTTTGCAATACAGCGAAGTATTTTGCTCATTGGAAATATTAAATTTAATTTATTATCTTGATGTTGGAAGTAAAATTAAAGATTCAAGAAAGATTTTTGGCAAACATGGACTTTCATGCCCCCACTAAAACAGAGTGTCAAAATGACGGTTTTCCCTTGACATCGCTTTTATAACTACCTTTACTCATCGGCAATGTTTATTGTTTTAAAAAGCGATTACTAAAATTGGAATAAATCCTAAACATATAATAAAAGCGAATTTATACATTTATTTTGTTCCTGAGAATATTAAACGCAATGTATTTATTAGATGGTTTATTTACAAGAGTAATTTTATATTTATAACATTTTAAAAGCTAACTAGCAGCATGGCCCGGCGTTGCCCGGGCTTGATTCAAAAATCGGACGACTCATACAGCAATCGCTATCACTTGACTTAAAATATTTTTGCCCTTCCTTGCCTTTGAAGGCGTGTCCTTTGCCATGCTGATGTTGCTACATGCCTTACTTCTTGCCTATCTCACACTGCGATTTTTTTCTAAGCTCTATACTAAACATTAAATCTGTTACGAAAAAAGAACTAAACAAAATGAACACAAAACGATCAGCTTTAAAATAGGACTCGTAACTGGAAAAATTGAATGAAAAAAGAATGTTAACAACAAATACTTTTTCACACCCAACCCAGTTCTACGGAATCAGAATCAACGTTGAGTTTAAGCAAGCGAATGAGCCAATTGGAGTAAAGTGCCATGCAGATTTAAATTTTTCCCACTTGTGACGAATGCAGCTATCGATTTTTTTTTGCATGCTAGCATGCTAATTAACATTCGTGTCAGTCACCTGTTGGCTCTCACGCTGGCCAATAGAATCTTCCTGCCTATTCGTGGCAGCCAGCTATAGGCTCTCACTCTGGCCAGTAGAAAATGGCCGCAAACTACATGAAAATTGCCGTAGAAGCATAAAAAAATCGATTATTTCCACTATCGATGGGAGTTGGGAAATGCAAAGTCGATCTTGGCCTTCCCGCTAACTTGGAGCATGTGCATGTAAATTTTGGTGCAAATCCGTCGAAAATTGCGGCCGTGCATGCCTTACACACACACACACACACACACACACACACACATCCTGCCTTTTATAGATAGAGATAAAATTGTATATGCAATATTTGTCATTTGCCAAATTATAAAGAAATAAATATGAAAATATTTTTTATTCATAAATTTATATACATTTATTAAAGTTTAAAATATGTGGACCAATTAGAAGGAAATCCTTATTAATTTTTATTTTGTTTGAATCAAATGGCAATTAGCCGATGTTTTGCCAATCATTCCAATAAATAATTAATAAATAGTATTTATTATTTTGTTGTAAATACTCAAGAACAAAAAAATTAATAAATTGCCTTACATCATTTATTTACGTTTATTTAAATTTCAATTCTAAATATCGATTTTTAAAACAATGAACATCGCTGAAGAATGATGGTAGATAAAAGCGATGCCATGGTCAAAAAAAAAGAAAAAAAAGTTCTTCTAACATTAGGTCTTATATTTTTTTTATTTTCGAAATGCATTTTAAACCTTAGGCATCGCTTTTTCTAGGTACCAGGATAGCAGCTCGGATTGAGGAATCGGAGAGCCGAGTTCGAATTCCAGTCGAATCCATTACATTCATTTACGTGCTAATATCCTTGGGAAAAGGTATTAATCCTTTTCTCCCCCCAGCTATGGTTAAATAGCAGAACAGACTGGGTTCTATAGCCTTGCATGGCAACTGGTCTAGGAGAAGGACAACTCTGAATTCAAAACCTGCGGAGGATTGTTTGAGGACCTTGTGGAACGTAGTGCGCCAAGTCTCTGTATTGGGCCCTTCAAAAAGTGTGGTTGGTTCTGCACAAAGCCTTCACCTCTATAATCAAATCGCATGTGCTTACGTCTGGGCTGTAGGTTCCTAGGTACTGAGCTGCTTGACCCACATACATCGAATACGACGGGAGAGTCCACCATATATATATATATATATATATATATATATATATATATATATCTTACTTATTATAAAACGCAGATTGTGTATGTGTGTGTGTCTATACGTTTATATATTGGATCGGATTTCCTACATTTTTCAACCGATTTCAACAAAACTTCACAGGACTACGTAAAATTACCTTGCGGTGGTTCTGACAGCGCCAAAAATTGGAAAACACAATTGTTTTTGCAGTAAATCAATTTGAAAACACGATAAAACACGATTCTGTCGCCAGAATGAAAGTGGGACAACTCATATCGAGTTATACTTATAAAACCCAGGTTGTTTGTGTGTGTGTGTGTGTGTGTGTGTGTGTGTGTGCGTTCGTTTATATATGGGATCGGATTTCCTACATTTTTCAACCGATTTCAACAAAACTTCACTTTATTTGGGAGGGCGCAGGTAGTGTTTCTTATTGTCTTGCACACTTTTTTCTTTATTTTTACATCCAGAATGCTTTAAAAAATTCCATTTACAAGACATTTGTTTATAATAAAATTCTATTCAATCGATAGACTCATAACGATTGAAGACAATGTTTTTGTTTGAGTTTGGGTTTGAATAATTCGTAAAAAAAAACAAAAAAAAAAAACTAATTAAGACATTGCGTGTCCGTCAACCTTAAACAATAATCTTCGTCAATTTTATTTTTCAGTCTTTATGATGGTCGATACTTGATCTATCTCTTACTGTTACATCCCTGGGCAACGCCGGGCTCTCCTGCTAGTATATATATATATATATATATATATATATATATATATATATATATATATATATATATAAATGTAATTACCTTATTATTTTCTATTTAGCGCATTCCTCCCCATATCCAGAAATGCAGTCAACTGTGATTTCCTTCTAGATTAGGCAAAAAATAAAATACAACATGTGCCTCTGAATTATTCATTTCGCTTCGCCTTTGTGAGCTTTTCACCGACTGTCTACCTGTTTACGGAGGATGAAGTCAGAAACACCTGACGGGTGACTGCACTTATTTTGAATGGTCCGCATTAACTCGCTGAACTAACATTACAAGTATTATACTTTGCACATTACTCCTGGGTTTGACGATAAACTACAGCCGGCAGCAAGGCCTTTGATCGGGTGATTGGAGGTTTTGAGGAGCATGGAACATTTTAACTGCTGTTGTTCCAAGGTACACCCTGACTCGGGGTGGTAGCACCTGTTAGGGTCCCAAACATGGGCAAATAGTGAGCCCGAAAATAAAAACAAAACAATATGAAAGTATAAAAATACATTATAATATAAAAAATAGCAACAATACATATTTATAGTAAAAGTACCAACAATATATATTTATAGCAATACCTATTCATGGTGTATATTTAGTTGACGCCATAAAACTGTAGCGTAACTTAGATGTGGCACAAGGCCGAAAGCATGGGGCACCCAGTGAGGATCGAACTCACTTTTCAGTAGTAGCTGATCTAGCAAGACAAGCTTGCTAACCATTACACCACGCCGAGGTGCCCACGCCATGAATCTGTATTCAAAATATTTAGATTTCAGCCTTTAAATAACCCATAGAGGTTGATATGCCGCTAAACAAAATCAACCAACCAACTACGTTAACACACTATAGTGATTTTCCAAGCGTAGCTTAGATGTGGCACAAGGCCGAAATTGGGGTCACCCAGTGAGGATCGAACTCACTACTCAGTCGTAATTGTTTTAGCGAGACAAGCTTGCTAACCATTACACCGCCTTGAGGTGCCCCTATGTTCACACACTGTATGTCGATATTCATACTAAGCTCACGATAGTACGTACGGTAATAGGTCTGGAGCTAAGCAACCAGGAATTGGGGTGGGGTCTGCCCTGTGGAAAGGTTCCCAAACATGTGGCCCGTGGATTCCCTTAAGGACATTTTCCCAAAGGTTGAATAAACCAGTTTAGTATATTTGAGCAAGAGGCATTTTGAGAGTAAGGAATAGAATGAGAGAAAGAGAGAGAGAGAGAGAGAATAGACAACCGAGCAAGAGAGAGAGAGTGTGTGTGTGTGTGAGAGGAAAGCAAGAAGGCAAGTGGGTGGGTAGGAGAGATAGAAGAACTTGCATTTGAAAAAGAGGTGGCAGTGAAGAAATAGAGCGACAAACAGCTGAGAGAGAGAGAGGCAGGCAAAAGAAAGGGACCAAGCATGTAAGAGAGAGAGAGGGGGGAGGCAAGAAGAAAAAAGAGAGAGGGACTGCCAGGGAGAAAGAGGGGGTGGGTGAGGAAGAGAGAGTGAAGAGCTGACACTCAAAATGGAGAATGATGGTAAGAGGGGAATGAGAAAGAGAGAGTTACAGACAAGCAAGAGAGAGGAAGCAATATAAAAGAAAAAGGGGTGACAGAAAGGCAAGAGAGAGAATCAGGCAGCCAAGAGAGAGTGAGGGAAGTGGTCTGTTAGGCAAAAGAGAGAGAAGACTGCTAGGAAAGATTTCGCACGTCGTCCAGCTGTTCATGTTTATTAAGCACATTTTTCTAAAAAGAAAAAAAAAAGTAAGATTAACGCCTAATTTTTTAAAAAGAAACATCGATTCTCAAAATGCATGGCAAAAGTCAAATCTTTCAGCATCAAAACACGGCACAATTCCGCTTGGCAACCTTGAAACTATTCTGTTAATTCGCCCTAAATAATGTAAAGTTACTTATCGAAAATATTAATTCACCCCAAGAAATAATAAATTTTAAATTTTAAATTTTTTTAATTTGTTTTTTTTTTATCAAATTTTTGGCACTCTTTTTGAAATTATAAATCATACTTATTATAAAACCCAGGTTGTGTGTGTGTGTGTGTGTTTGTTCGTTTATATATTGGATCGGATTTCTTACATTTTTCAACCGATTTCAACAAAACTTCACAGGACTACGTAAAATTACCTTGCGGTTGTTCTGTCAGCGCCAAAAATTGGAAAAACTCAATTGTTTTTGAACGAAATCAATTTGAAAACACGATTAAGAGGCATCGCTGTCGCGAGAATGAAAGGGGGACAACTAATATCGAGTTATACTTATAAAACCCAGGTTGTGTGTGTGCGTGTGTGTGTGGTGGGTTTATATATGGGATCGGATTTCCTACATTTTTCAACCGATTTCAACAAAACTTCACTTTTTTTTGGCAGGCAGTGTTTCTTATTGTCTTGCACACTTTTTTCTTTATTTTTACATTCAGAATGCTTTAAAAATTCCATTTACAAGACAATTGTTTATAATAAAATTCTATTCAATCGGTAAACTCATAACGATTGAAAACAATGTTTTTGTTTGAGTTTGGGTTTGACCAATTCGTAAAAAAAAAAAAAAAAAAAATTAAGACATGCGTGCCCGTCAACCTTAAACAATAATCTTTGTCAATTTTATTTTTCAGTCTTTATGATGGTCGATACTTGATCTATCTCTTACTGTTACATCCCTGGGCAACGCCGGGCTCTACTGCTAGTATTAAATGAAAATTTGTTTAGCTCCTCTTGCCCCCGTGTGAGAGAGATTGGAGGGTGGAAATTAAATCTTCTCCAACAAGGATCCGGAGGCGCTTTTGAACTCTATCAAAATTCGAAAGAGAGGCTCCCGCTCAAATATGTCTACAGTACTCGGTAGGAGATAACATGAGGAGTCAGGTAATTACTAGAGCGGTACAGGGAGCCGGTCATTTTACCTGCATCTTTAGCGATAAATCTGACCAATGTCTACATTTTTTACTCTACTAGAAGAAACTGAACTTATCTCTACCATTTTTTTTTACACTTGTGCAAACTGGACATCGGTTTAACTATCTATTAATCGCTTGTGCATTCTATATATCCTCGTCCAATAAGGGTTGCTATATCATTAAATTAACCAGTGCCGGACTGGCCAGGATGCCAGTTTGCCCGATAGCAAGTGGGTTCCTGATTGGCGAGGGGGCGATATCAAATAAAAACGCAATAAAGAAACGAGTACAAACAACTATTTTAGTAATAAAAAGTGTTAAGAACTTTATAAAGTCATCTGCACACTATCAGTTCCTCAAGTCCAATGTAAGACGATATTTTCAAAGCTAAAGATCAAAGCTAAGATTAAGAAATTTACCGTCTGAAGAGAATTTGGAACCATATATCTAGATATCCACTGAAAAGGAATTTTAGATGAATTGAATGCAGAAGCACTTATTGGCAGATCATCTTGTGAACACAAACTATTGCTCTTAATTCTTTAAGTAAATGGTTGATATTTTTAAATAGTTTACTGCACAGTTTAAACACTAACAGATTGTTGAAACGCATAGTAGAGCATTGTAAGCAGTCCACTAGATTAAGAGCAATCGTTTGTGTTCACAAGATGATCTGCCAATAATAATTTTTAAGTAATTACAGTGCACATGTACTGTACTGACAGTAGACCTGGGTGCTCCTTACTTTCGGCCTTGTGCCACATCTAAGCTACGCTTGGAAAATCACTATTACTGGCAGTAGATAGCAAACGTAATTACTTAGAAACCCATTTTTTCCATAAAAAAATTAATTGTACCCTTTTTTTTCCATATGCATTTATTTATTCGTTATGAAAATTATATAATTGTACAGTGTAACCCGGATATAAGAGAGTTGTCGCGACCGGAGAAGAAGTCTCTTATATCCGGGTTTCTCTTATATCCGGGTTTGGTCTATTGATATACATTAACACAGGCTCTAATTTGGAACCAGAGAAAATCTCTCTTATATCCGGGTCTCTTATATCCGGATTGTAATTGTCGGTAGACTCCCGTTTTCTTTTGGCAACTAATATTTTTAAACCCAGTTCGCCACTGAAATTAACCGAAACACATGCTCAAGCGCGAGTGCGCACACACACACACATATTTTGTCAGGTTTGGTTTGGTTTGTTTTGATTTTACGGCTTATCAACCTCAATGCCGACAAAATTTATTGTTGGTAATTTTTTTTTTAAATCTATTTCTGGTAATATTTTTCCTTCAAAAATTCTATTTCTGGTAATAATTTTTCAATTATGCATCGCTGGTAATATTTCCCTATTTAAAAAAAATGTATAGCTGGTAATATATACTTTTTCTTTTTCTCAAAAAATATATATATATATTTGTGTAGATCCCAATTTCTTTAGTGAAATTTATGATGTTTCTTGGATTAGTATTTTCGAATAAATCCTTTAGGTAATCCGATTTGTAGTGTTTACTACGAATTCGTCGGAGATTATGGCAATTTAGTAGGATGTGTTTGACTGTATAAGCTTCTTGGCATAGTACACATGTTGGAGGTACCTCGTTTTTTAGGAGTTGTTGGTGAGTTATGTCTGTGTGACCAATACGGAGTCTGGTTAGAACGACCTCCTCTCTCCTTATCTTTCTGGAACTTGCCGGTCTTTCACCGATGTTAGGTTGAATATTGAAAAGTTTGTTGTTATCGCAGTTGTTCCATAATTGCTGCCATTTGTCTTTAATGATCCTGTTTATTCAGGGTCTGAAGTCAGTGTGAGGCACCATTATTTTATATATATATATTTTGTCAGGAATTGTTCTTTTAAACATTTATTGTTAAATACAATAGATATTTTTGTGTATGGTATATTTAATGATCTTCTTTTTGAATGTAGGAATATCATTTCGTACATGTAATTGTTATGCGTGGATAAATTCGCCAAGATTCATGTTGAGTTGTCCCCATATTTCGACTCACATGTGTATTCATCTGGGCCTGTTTGTGAAAAAAGAAAATTATGCATGGTTTAATAAGTAGATGGTACCATTATTTTATAAAAATGTCATTTTAGGGAAAACTAAATCGAATGCAGCTAAACACAGCAATCATGTGACAACAACGTGTAATAATTTTTCAAAAATATTTTATATGCATTCAAGAATTCAGGACCCCAAACAATACTTATTTTAATTTATTGTAGCTTAACTTGGATGTAAATGGCTTCTATAATTTGTAGTCGTTTTTAGAAATTAGATTTATAAAGTTTTCTAGTATTTTTATGAAGGAGCTATCTAACATTATTGACAGATTTGTGATGCATGTTGATGTTTGATCTCATCTTACTTTGGTTAGCTAAACCATTCGAATTCGGCTTTTATGAAGATTCAATGTTTTCAACCCTTGCTGAAAAATAACGATTGTAGTATCACGATCTGTGAGTTGGGATAAAAGCAAATCGAATAAAGATGAAAGAAAGACTAGCGGATATTACTAATTAAAATTGGCTCATGGCAACTTAAGACAATTACTACATGGTGTAGAAGAAACAGAAATAAGGTTCAAACCATATAATAATTATCATTGTGTATTTATTTATACATATTTCCTGTCCCATCTGTAGTGAGGAGGGAGAAAATCAACTTAAGATAGTAAATTTATGAGTGATTAATTCTCTTAGCCGTTTTAATAGTCTATGCAAATAAATCTGCATTTAGACAAAATTAGTTTCCATGAAAAAAGAACTGTTTAATGAATCAGTTCATTTACTTCTACGTTTCTTAGATTGCAGTCTAATTTGTTCAAGCCTTTCAAAAGAGGCACTCAGATACCTTTGTCTATTAAGTGATCGGCTTCCTTTAACTTGGTTTTGAAATAGGATTTGTTGTTGCATTCTTTGTCGTTGCTAATCTTTTTCTTCCAGGAGATATTTTCATTTTACTGTTATATTAAACACACAACATTTTTGACATGAACAAAAAGTGATTTATATAAAACGTAAGCGTAATCAACGAATCATAGATACCATTGAACGTCTAAAAATTGTAAATGGAAAGGATTAATTAAACGGTTCAACAGCTTCTATTTTAGTTTCATTTCATCTCAATATATCGTTTTGGACATTTGTTTCATTGCATTTCGCTATTAAAACGTTCTAACAACTGCTGTCATTTTATTTATAGTAAGAGTAGTTAATAATAAAAGAGAAGGCTTTATTTAAAAATTCGGAAAAATAAAGCCTGCTACGAGAGCGGTAGAATAAAAATGATAAATAAAACAGTAAAACTTACTGATAAATGACAATAATTCAAGCAGCAAATTCGAATCATAATTATAAAACAGTTTTATAACGCTGTTTCGAATATGTTACTTAAATTCTTGTCACGTATCTTGATAGGTCAGGAATACGAGGTGCTTAGATGTGCGAGTGGCGTAATAGAGAACGGCTTAGAATTGGAAGTCGGTGAGCCGAGTTCAAATTCCCGTCCAGTTCGTTGTATTTACTTACGTAAAAATACCATTGGGAAACGTATGAATCCATCTCTTCTCCTCCAGCTATGGGTTAATTAGTAGGACTAAATCTTTATTATTTAAAAACATATTACATTCTAAAAATACTTTCTGGTTTTAAATAACCTTCAAAAGGTAGCTAACCCGTAAAAAAAAAAAGAATTTATTTTCGAAAATTACAATTGAATATACATCTTGTACAATTTTTATAATATAACCCTTACAATGTTTTCTTTCCTTTTGCAGGTAAGTCGACCGAT